AGTAAAACTAAAATACTGGTATGCAAGGGAAGAAAAAGTAGGGAAAGAGCGAATATAAAGATAGGCGACGAAAAATTAGAATCAGTGACTGATTTTAGGTATCTAGGAAGTTAGATAACTCAGGACGAAAGAAGTAGTCGGGATATAAAGCAAAGGATAGCGCAGGGTCAAGTCGCATTCAATAAAAAGAAGTTACTTCTGTGCTTGCTAACGATTAATAATGATAATAAATTTTTAATATATGTCCAGTCAAAATTTTTTGTTTTGAATTTACTTTTTTCGAATGATCCATAGTTATTTTCCTTTCTCGTTCAGCTTTATCCATTTGGGATTTACTACACTTGGGTTTTTAATGAGTGTGGGTGTTCACCATGAGTTAGAGGGTGCCCAGGCACTCTGGGATCCCCTGTTGTTGCGCCCATGACCATTTTAAAATGGCGATTAATAAACTGATAATAAAAGAGATTTCCAAAGATTGAGTATTTAATTATAAAACTTTTTTCCTGTATAAACTGAGCAATAATTGCTTATAAGGTGTTAATTAAAATTAAAATAGCATTGAAACGTATATTTCTGTGAAACCTAAACAGGTACCGTTACCACCCTAATCTCTTATCATTAGTATTCATTTAGTCCTCAGTGTATATGCTTTCATGCTAAATTTTGGCCAACCACAATTCCATTTCATTTGTTTGTAAGGGTTACTAAATCTGTTTATTGAAATTTATTCTTTATGTTTCTATTATGCTCATAAAATAATTATCTTTTCTAAATGTACCCTTGGAAGGAGGGGCTCTGCAGTATCATTTCCCTTTTATCTGAGTTTAAAACTCCTTTATTTTCTCTATAATAATAGCCGTTTATAAGCACATCTTATAGATACATATATTATATATGTAGATATGTATGTATAAAAAATACTCTCCTTTATAAGCATAGGTAAGTAACCGCGAAGGCTCGTACTTCTTATCCTTTTGAAGTCTACCCCAATCTGTCGGCTATTGAGCGTCTAATACCCGTATCTCTTTAAGAAATGAAACTCTATTGAAATTGGGGAACGCGTAGTTACCCGAATATAATGAGCCCAGGAAAATATAAGGGTCTCAAATCCGGAAGAATGGGGCACTTGTTAAGTATTGTTGAATTGTACAGAAGGCGCTGAAATGAAGACAGTGTGTGACACCTGTTGCTCCTTAAAGCAGGATTAGACGGTTTATACAATGGTTTTCACAGCAGGTATTATTAAATAGAGCTTAATAACAAGGTGCCACATCAGGGCATGTAGATTGTAGATAGCTTTTAAATTATTTTTCTTCCGCTTCTGGTTTTGACGCAGATTTTTCGTTTTATACGTTCCGCTTCAACTAATATACTGAAGAAATATTTTTCTTCANGTAAATAACGTAAAATTTAAGTAACGTTGTAGATTTAAATACTTTTAAGTTTTAATGTACATTATTTAATGTATTGTAAAAACAGCTGTACAAAGTGTGTTAAAAATAAATCGCTTTATATAATTTTAATAACAATTATTAAATCACCTGTACATTTATGTACCAGATTATTTTTCAACCATTTATATGTATAACTTCGTTTTACTATAATATATGTTTCAAAGGAATGTGTCCGGCATCTTCGCTAAATTAAGAAAAAAAAAGAACAAAATTACATTTTCAGCACAAAAATAATATACATTAGAAAATTTCATTTTATTAACGTCAATACTGTTTCAAAAACGAAACCTTATTTTAAGGGAGAACTGGATTAATAAATTGATATAATACATTGGCGACATAACGATAATTGTGTAAAATATAATTTTCTCTGATATTCAAGATGTGTTTTTATTTTTTTTAATTTCGGGTGTTTAGAATGTTTTCTCGCAAAATTGGTGCTATGCAAAGATGCGTCGTTTTAAATATTGGCGGTTTTAAACCATTTTAACAAAAGCCTTACAGATGCCGCTCGTGTCAAATGTCACTTACAGTTCTCTATACTGTAGAGTCTAGTATAGAGGACTCTGATGTCACTGCAATGTTCGCCTCAAATATCTATGGCCTCAAATGTCACTGCAATGTTTATTATATATGTAGATATGTATGTATAAAAAATACTCTCCTTTATAAGCATAGGTAAGTAACCGCGAAGGCTCGTACTTCTTATCCTTTTGAAGTCTACCCCAATCTGTCGGCTATTGAGCGTCTAATACCCGTATCTCTTTAAGAAATGAAACTCTATTGAAATTGGGGAACGCGTAGTTACCCGAATATAATGAGCCCAGGAAAATATAAGGGTCTCAAATCCGGAAGAATGGGGCACTTGTTAAGTATTGTTGAATTGTACAGAAGGCGCTGAAATGAAGACAGTGTGTGACACCTGTTGCTCCTTAAAGCAGGATTAGACGGTTTATACAATGGTTTTCACAGCAGGTATTATTAAATAGAGCTTAATAACAAGGTGCCACATCAGGGCATGTAGATTGTAGATAGCTTTTAAATTATTTTTCTTCCGCTTCTGGTTTTGACGCAGATTTTTCGTTTTATACGTTCCGCTTCAACTAATATACTGAAGAAATATTTTTCTTCATTTTAAACCTCTTTATTAATATTGTCTTTAAATTTTTTTACGAGAAATTTAGTTAGTGTTTGTAAAACCAACAAGGTACATCTACACCTGGTTAGAAACCCATGTAAAATTCGTGCTTTTTTTCTATAACGACAGTAACCACTTTAACGGTTGATCTGCCCTAATGTACAAAATTAAATACAGGAAATGAGATTGCACTAAATCATCCCTAAAATAACGGAAAAGCTTCAATTATTTTCCCCCAAGACACCTATATCAACCACCGTACTAATGAAAGTGTACCTATAGAAACACTCTATGGCTACAGTTCGTCCCAAAATACTTTAGAACAAACAGGAAGGCAGTGATCCATTTATACTGACAAGTTGGACACACTAGTTATTTGGTCCCCTATTGCACCACAAACCTCCTACAATACTTATCAGTAGTTTTAATATCCATAGTTACATAGTGAAATTTGGTAAAATTAGTTTATTAATCTATACTCCATTTCATCCTTTAGTTTGGATAATATTAAATAAAGTTCAGGGCAATTGAGATTTGTAAAGTTTTTATTTATGAAGAACCAACACCATTAGTTTATTAATTATTGTTGTTTTTTTATTTCTTTGTGGCTAATTATTTTTTAAATTTTAATGTATTCCAAATATATTTTGTTATGTTACTATTTTGTATGCCTTTTAAAGAATTAAATAGAGTCTTTGTTGCAATAAGAATGTTTTTATGTTTAATTAGACTAAGGAACTCATGATGTGGAAAATATTTTTTAAATAAACACATGATTAATTTGTCTTCGTTGTATATTTTTAAATTATCGAGGAACACGGACAAAATAAAACTTATATAAATTAACAATGACTTTTTTTGTAGAATTCTTCATTAC